TTTTTGATCTCTAAAACATTATGATAACATAATTCAATAATTTCTCCTGTATGTTAATTTAATCAATATGGTATTGAATTATCAAAGTCCAGTATATTGATTCAGTTCTATTTAGGGTTTTCAGTATAAAATCAATTAAAAAGTGCCACATTAATTTTAGGAGGTTACCAATAGATAAGTAGGTCCAGGGTAGCATTTTGGTTGGAGAACGAGGGGCCAAAGACTTCCAGTAACATCTTTTTGTGGGAATATATCTGAACTTTTTATTTACTTTGCCTGATTTTAAATGAAATAATTCACAAGACAAAACAATGGAAATTATTTAAAAAGAATTAGTATACTTGAACAGTAAAGTCAGATGTAATCAAGACTTTTTTTTTAAGTTTTACATGCAGACACAAAGCTCCAGATGTCACATAAAATTTAACCAGTTTAGCCACATATCCTGAGCAGGTAATTTTGTTCCAGGACTGGTAAAAATATATATTTAACCAATTATGTTACCTGTAGAGCTGGAAAATAATCAATATCAGCAGTTACCGATGAGCATTAATTAGTGTCACTTAAAATAATTAATTAATTCAATTTACTACTAAATTGATTAATGTAACAAAAATGATCAACTAGTGTTTCCATTATTACTATTTTTGATTATTCCAACTATTTAGTAATCAAAATTACAATTAAAATTAATTAATGTCATGAAAATAACCAATAATCGATTATTGAACCCAATGATTAATTGATTAGCAAATTCCACTAAGTTTCCAGATCTACTTACCTGTATAAGTTGCTGCAAAGTCAGGCCACTGTAAATAATTAATATTTTATTATTTCAAATTCTGCCTTATTTAAACTATATAAAGAATTGATTATAAGTTTTGTTAAGAATTTGTACAGTTTCCACAAAATAAGACATGTTGTTAAACAGAGGTGATAACAGTAGAGCAGATGTATTTCTTACATTTATTTGGGGACTCAAAGAACCCTAACAGCATCAGTTGATCATAAAAATTGATTACTAATAGATAGTAATAAAAATAATCAAGACATAATTAATGGTTTTTTAACCACAAGTACCTACGTCTTTCCATTTTGAATGCTGTTTGCCATATTTGTAATCATTAACAAAATAACATTCTGCAAGAATTAATAAGTGCTCCAGTGATAATGATATCATAAGTGCTATAAATGTCTTTTAGTACTTCACTTTGGTTCCTAATGAATTAAAAGATGTTTTACAAGAAATCTGAAAAGAAATTATGAGCATTTTTATTTCTTTGTAGCAGGTATCTACACTGATAATAAACAGGTAAAAATACTGTGTATGAACCCATTTTGAAACATCTTCTTCACTCTGTACAAAAGAAATAGCAAGTCATGCAAACAGCAATAAGGTAGAGCATATAATTTACAATCTGACATCTTTTAAAAAAATAAGTTATTCTTGCCGTTTTGTAGGTCTACAAGAATTGGCAATGTTTTGCTGAGGATGATTTTCTCTGGTATAGAATAATTATGTTTCTTGAACTTCTTGTCTTTTTTAGGTCAGCAAGATTTGGCGGAGTATTTCTGAAGGTGATCTTTTCTAGTGTAGGTTGTTTCATTTTTCTGGTAATTCTTGTCTTTTTTTAGGTCAGCAAGATTTGGCGGAGTATTTCTGAAGGTGATCTTTTCTAGTGTAGGTTGTTTCATTTTTCTGGTAATTCTTGTCTTTTTTTAGGGCAGCAAGAGTTGGCTGAGTATTTCTGAAGGTGATCTTTTCTAGTATAGGTTGTTTCATTTTTCTGGTAATTCTTGTCTTTTTTTAGGGCAGCAAGAGTTGGCGGAGTATTTCTGAAGGTGATCTTTTCTGGTAATTCTTGTCTTTTTGTAGGTCAGAAAGAGTTGGCTAAGTATTGCTGAAAAATGATCTTCTCTGGTATAGGTTGTATTATTTCTCTAATAGTTTTTGCCTTTTTGTAGGTCAGCAAGAGTTGGCGGAGTATTGCTGAAGATGATCTTCTCTGGTATAGGTTGTATTGTTATTCTGGATATGGGAATGATACTACAGCTCCAGTTCATTCTGTACAGAACTGGAAAGGTTTTCTGAGGGATACCATTGTAAGAGAGCAAACACTTCGACAGAATTGGAAGGTAAGAAGCAAATGACTTTTACATTTTTTTAAGACAATTTTATCATTTATTGTATTTCATCTTGATCGTGTTTGATTAGTACATGTATTTTACTAGCAGAAATCTTAATTCTAATGTAGTAAACTTTAGGTACTAAAACTAAAATATTATGAATATATATATTTATAATAGATTTTAAACACCAGCTGTAATAAGTGAAAAAATATCTGAAAAACATACTTTAACTGTGTGTTCAATGACTGTAGGTTGAAAGTTATGCTTACCAGCATGAAACACTATTTTTATGGTGTGTGAAATTGATGAGAAGTGAGGATTGTTAAAAAATATAACTAAATTGTTATTAGTGTAAAATTCAAGGTCAATGTAAACTTAACCATATAATATATGAAACTATATGTGAGAAGAAAAAAAACAGTATTGTAAAAGATGCCATGATTAAGTTTAAAATTTATTATGAAAAACATTTTCAATAATAGAGACAGGCTGGAAAACTTTGTTTTTAATATGATGTTCAAGTAGAAGATATTTTGGAAGATTTGCTTGTTTTATATGATGCTAGATATGGAGAGAAAAAATCTAAAGGAAATTGTAAAGCCACAAAACATATAATGCTTCCTTGGCATCTTTAAAAATTCTGCTGCAATAATCAGCATCCATATCTCCAGGTATAAAGTAATCCATTGTACACATACATAGTGCAAATTCGTCTAGAAAAATAATTTTACGTATATATCAACAACACCTACCTATACAGTATGCAAAAAATGAAACTTACCAAACAGATCAAAAACAGAAGGGTTTTTTTTACACCAGTATTCCAAACTAAAACTACTGAAAAGGACTTGTAACAGGGAGCATTTCCAATAAGCTCATGAACATATTTCTTTTCTTTCTCACCAGATGTAAAATTGAAAATATAATCTGTGACATACAAGCCTAATGTATTGTTTGATTGGCTTTACCCTTTGCTGTGGTCTGTAGTTTTGCCTATTGAAGGATCATCAGTACAGTTTAGGTCAGCAAATAAAAAAAATACAGTTAGCCTTTTTATAATGGTGATGCATATATAAGATCTATGGGGTTTTGAGATGATATTTTCAATTTAAGTTTGGTAAAATAGGAAAGAAATCCTCAGCATATATGTATGTATATATACATAATTATTAAAAAGGTGGTGCACTGTATAATATCAAATAATAAATTAGGCACAATACCATAATATTATTCACATACCTAAATTAATTTAGGTTATTGTATGATGAATTAAAAATGACTCAAAAACCCTATAAATCTTACCTACATAAAGGATTCTTACCAGCACTTAGCAACTGTATAACTGCTTTGGCAATAAGAACAATCCATCTTGGAAACATACTTAACTTTCGGTTACGAATGAATATAACTTGAAAGGTTCCAAACTAGTAAAGTCTTGTACAGTTTAATTTAAGAAGTTAAAGAAGGGAAAAAATAATTAGGTTTAATTTTTTCAGCTTTTAAAGACATGTGGAAGATCCTAATAATTACATGTACAAATTTGTCATTTTAACATGTGTTCTTTGTCTCTCAAATGTTATTTGGAGTAACAACAAAACAATTAGAAAATAGCATTGTATGGCAAGAGGTAAGAAAGTGATTTTCTTACTTCTCCAGTATGTAGGTTTTTAGGAGCATTTCTTATTTATTTACTACAATGGTGCAAGGATGATACAGTAGGAAGGTTCACAGCTTTCAAACTTTAAATAAGATACATAAAAAAGTTTGGCTAGTGGATGAAAATGTGCCAAAGTATGTAAAATATTTACTAATTTCTGAAAAGTAGAGAGTGTTGATAAATGTGGGCACTTTGAATGATCACCTGTGCATGAAAAGTTGCAGAGCTAGAGAGTTAAATGAAACTGTTACTTGAAATGACACAGGCCAGATGTATGAGTTTCAAAGCTGTGATGAGTGATAGCATTGTAAGTTTTAAAGAGAAACAGGAAGCTGGAATAGCTATAGATGAATTATATTCCAGTTATATGAGATAAGTAGGAAAGATGATTATTGCGACTTTTATATTATAGAACAGAATTGGTCGGCTGTATGAGTTGGAAGATTCTCGAGCAGGCATTCTTTGTTCTGCTTATTCCTGTCCAGGATTTATTGTTACAGGGTAAGTATATTATATGCTTTCTTTTCTATCCTATCTATTTAAGGTGATTAAAAGCTAATTTACAGTAATAGGCAAAAGCTTGTGAAGTTTAAAAGGAGAATGGGTTAAGATTATATTTTACACTAAAGCATATTCAGGTTTATTCATAAGTAGATAGTTATACATATAAATTAGAAATATAGAACCTTATGATTAAAATTCCTCTATAACTACAAGCTAAAATATATTAGCCACGTAAGTTAAAATATTGGTATTAAACAAATAATTCATTGTGACTTCTTTAGACATGGAACTTAGATCTATTCCAATTCATCAAGGATTGTGTGGGCTTTTGAAGTTATAATGATATAAAATTTCAATGATTTAAATAAAAACAACAATAGATTTTCTGCAGAGTTCATGTTTTAATGAACATATCAGTATGTTTATTTTCTGGTGATGATAAAAACGTGTGACATATTAATCAGTAAGTACTTTACACTGGATCTACAGCTATTATGGAGGAAGGCTTAATCTGTGGAGACTGCGAGAAGATGGAATTGATGATTATCTAACTATATTGGATCCTGATCATGATTCACGTTCTAGAGGTTTGGGCAGTGTCACATGTGTTGCAGTTAACCAAGACTTTGTTGTGGCAGGGTTTGATCATGGTAAGTCCTTTCAAATTTCTTAAATCTTTGATAAGTTCTCCTAATGTTAAATACTCAGGCTAGTGTCTTAAACTACAACTTAGAAAATAGCTTTAGTCAAAATTTCTGTATCTTTTTAAATAATAATAGCAATAACTGTATTTAAGTCAACTTTGATTCAACGTTGATTTTAAAACGGCTAAAATTAATTTTATTCTTCTGCCAACCTGTGAATAATTCATATGAAAAAGAAGTATTAATTTAACTTTTTTTTGCCATGAGATGGGCCCTTAGAGATTTTTATATACTAATAAACTTCTGATTTTATTCCATAAAAAAAAGCAAAGATCATAAGAAAATTCAAACAAACCCTATTTTAAGCTCCTTTGTAGATTTTACTGTAGTTGGCCTTTCACCCATGACCCATCTGGAAAGGGTTAACACAAATAACACTGCAAGATATGATCACATCTTGTGAGATATAATACTTACATTCATATATCAGGGTAAATAGTTCTGAACACAAGAAAACTTAACATCCTGAATCAAAGTTGACTTAAATACAGTTACTGTATTTTTTCTTTAAGATAGCTTATAAATGTAGTTTTCCATTCTGTTTTTTTTTCATGCCATATTATATTATTATTATTAACCAATGAATTTAGGATTAAAACATTTTGCATCCAAGAATCAGCATTTTTCTGAGGAGTAGTGTCAGAGTTTGAATACTGATCAGTTTCAGTTTTTCCTTTAAAAAAAAATTTACAACTTAACAATTCACTAATATGTGAATTATTAATGGAATTTGTGCATAACTATACAATAAATTTGAAAAAAACTAATGTTTTTTTATGTCTACACAAAGGTTTAGTTTATACCCCAATCTCAGACATTGCTAGCAAGACAGTATTACCATCAGAAGCTCCTGTGACAGTGGTGAAAATGTTTGAGAAAGGATGTATTTTTGCTGCTTCTAGTTCCAGCAGAGTACAAGTTTTCAGTCCAAACTTTGAAGAGAGATCTTTAACTCTGCAACATGAAACAAAGGTGAATATTTCATTTATTGAAAGGTTATATAGCATTCAAACATAAAGTAACTTCTGACGTATAGTTTTGAGGGCTACGATTAATCTCACTTTCTCAAATAAAATAAAAAATACTACATAACGAAAAGTAAATGGATTTCAATGTAACACTTTGCAAAGTTAAATGTATGTACTTCAGTAAATGGAGCTTCCTACGATTTAGTATCACTTTGTTTAATATGTAGAAATGTTGTAATAAGAATCAGTTTATTTTCAGAAACTGAAGAACTAACTTTTCTCTGTATTTAAAAAGAAAGTTACCACTGTTTTAGTATTTGTACAGACATAATGTTAATTCAGTACAAATAAATAGTGTCTGCAAGAGAAAATGCTTTTCAGACACTTGAAGTATTTTATTCCAAAAGTGTTGAGGCATGATAATTAAGATGAAGGTGGTTGACAACACACAAAACAGTTGTATATACAGAAGGTTCAAACATTTCGGAATACACTTATTCCATCTTCAGTGAAATCTGAAAATAACGCTACAATCATATTTATTTACTTATGCTATAATATCATCAATCACTAATTT